GCTTAAATTTGCACCTCTTTTGACGAAGCAAAACCCAACGCATATGACTAGATTTGAATAAATTATAAATGTATATAAATAAAGTTAATCAGTCTTAGATTTCAATAAGGTTTTTATATAGATATCGCTTCACTCTGTCTATAGCGTTATGTAACGTGAGTTGGGGTGGTAGAAAATGGGTTAAACAGTTTTTAATGCCTCTTTTATTGCTTTAAAAAAAATATTAAAATATCGACTGATGTTGAAATTTTGCTGAAACTGAGCTACTGCTTCTGATTAATTAATTTAGTTTCAGAAAAGAATGTTTAAAATTTGAGTTGGTTAAAATATTATCGTTACATTTAAAAAATACTTATTAAAATTTTTTAAGAAGTAGATTTTTTTTTGTTCTGTCTTGTTTTGTTGATTGACGTTAATTTATTATATTTAAATGCATATTTTACCTATTGCAGCCGTTGAATGGGAGAGCTAAGGAACGGTATAGACAATAGGCCAATTTAACTCCAACGGTGTACGATGAAAGAAATGATTTTAGTCAACTAATTTGGGTAGGATTTGAATATTCGTTTCTAACTTGTACTAAAATCTGAGTCTTAATAAACCTATTTCAAATTATAAGTCAATTTAGTCCCGAATTGACTCTCAAAAGGTTATTAAAGTTACAAGTCGAATTCAAGAGATAATTTAGATATATATAAACTAATGATACGGATCGACCCTGCCCAACGGCCGGTCGATGGACGGGCCAATACAGTCTGCACCTTTGTGGGCCGGTTGATAAGAGAAGTGTTAGAATCATTTCTCTTATAAGTATATTTTCAGGCTAGAAATTGAACAAAAATCGGCTAGTCATTTATAATAATGTAAGAGAAGTTAGCTTATTTAGGTGATAAATTGGCAAATAGTAAATATAATATAAGGGTCAGAATTGTTCGGTGGCATTGCCAATCAATCAACATAAAAACATAAAATACTACATGTCGAAATTTTCTCAAGGGCAAAAAGCATGAAAATTAAATCGTTTAATATCACAAGAATTTGACAAGAAATTACCTGATGGCCTTTTGCACGTCTAATATAGATATGTTGACTAATTTTGATCCGAAAAAAATTACACTAGCAAAAGGTCGGCCCCGAGCTTTTTTAGGATTGGCCCCGGCCCACAATTTTCATCGACCTGTATCACTAGTATAAACGTTTATTATTCTTATTTATTCGGCTATTAAAAACTTATCCACAGGTTTATTAAATTTACACCTTCAATATTAAATATTTACAAAGAAACAGCACTGTACCTCTTGAAATTCCATAGAATTTGACAATATTAAGATGGTCAAGTACATACAAACTTAAGCAATATACACAAATATTATCATAATGCTAAATTTTAATGTTAAGAAACAATTACAGAATGACGAACGACACATCACATTTGAATAATTTCAATTATTTATCATCCAACCACAGATCATTGTTTAGACATTTCAATGCATATTTTTTCCTTGAAAAATGGACGAATATACAATTGCCGACCCTCTTCTACTAATTGGTTGTGATCACTAAACAGTGAATAATTAGACTTTTATTCCAAAAGATTTTTCTCAAGTCCCTTTCTAACCGTTCTGAATAACCAAATTACTACCGACCACGACAAATAATGTAGAACGATTTTTCAAGATACTATTTATACATGCGCATGATATAAAATATACAATTTCACTTGCATACGGTGACAGTACCGGATTTTATTTAGAGTTAGAAAGGGTCATAATATATAGTAAAATTATGCAAGGAATATTTTTTGTTAAAACTCGGAAGTTTGTTTTATAGGCATAATTAACACTATTTAATTTTGGGCGGGCTAATATTTCTATAAGTGGATGTATGATGCTGTGATACTTTACCATGTATGTATTGTATTCTATAGTTTGTGTTGCGGCAGTGCTAATGTTGTTAGGCGAAACCATTTTGGGCAAATGGCGAAAGACGAAACTAAACCCGGCGAAAGACGAAACCAGGCGAAACTCTGGCGAAACCTGGCGAAACTGACGAAACCTGGCGAAACTGGCGAAACCTGGCGAAACCTCGGATAAAGTCAAAACTCAGCGAAGATCAAATCCTCTAAGACTTTGGAAAAGACTAATCCAGTCAAGGGAGCTTTGAGAGATATTTTAAAAACACTTGCGGCAAAATTAAAGACTTTGTATCATCGGAAGAACGTACAAGACTGGCCCTAGAGTATCTACAAGATTCTCTCGAAATGCCCTTTTTTTCAAGACTTGAGGAAATACGTAATATTGCAAGAATTAATTTTGCACTCCTAAATATATTGGAATTTGATGAGGACGCATATAAAGTGGCCAAAAAAACTGTTGAAGAAGTTCGAAAATCTGTAGGAGAAAATTATCAATTTGTTAGCAAAGCTAAATTACGCTTAGAAGTATTGGAGGATTTCTTGTGGATAATTAGTGGTGAAGATATGTCTGATACATCTCTTTTCAACACATTTCCTGACGAAATGAAGCCAGATTCGGAATTGGATGATAAATATATTAATTACTTGAACAACCAACAGTCTTTTAACCAAAATAAATATTATGAAGCTGTTCGTTTTGAATATTTGGCTGAAAAAGAAGCGAAAATTAACAAGTTAAACAGTTTACGTCATTGGCAATCTGCTCAAGAAAATTACAATATTGCACGTGAAATAGACCCGAATAATTCGATTTATTCCATCGGATATGCAAAATGCCTATTAAAATTATCTAAATATACTCAAGTTATCAAGCTTTCTAATACATGTAAAGAATTAAATTCTTCATCAGAATACTGGTATTTTCGTAGTGTAGCTTATTTTAAACAAAAAAAATATATAGATGCTATGCTATGTAATTCTGAGGCATTAAAATTGGATCCTGGAAATGATTCAGCTAGTAAACATAGAGAACTTGTCAAAAAATTAAATGTAGATAATATAGTTGAACACCACATTGACCGCTATAAAAAAGAGTTAATATATGAAACAGATTATTTGAAAAATTCTCATAATAATGAGCGTACTGTCTACAATATTCTATCAATTGATGGCGGAGGAATACGCGGGGTATTGCCTGCTTTATGGCTTAGCGAAATAGAATATCGCACTCATAGACCCATTTCTCACTTATTTAATATGATTGCTGGGACATCGACTGGTGGAGTCATTGCTGCCGGACTATCGGCACCACAGTTCAAACCTATCAACTAGATAGATGACCCTATTGAATACGAATATTCAGATTTAATACCAATATTTACAGCATCAGATTTGCTGAATATTTACAGAAACGGGACCAAAAGTTTATTCACTCAATCAACATTTTGGTTCAATATACCTATATGGTCGAAAGTACATAATAAGTATACAAATGTAGGTCGTTCTACTATGTTTAAACAATATTTTGAAGAAGCAAGATTAAGCAATTCTCTTACTGAATTGGTTATTCCTGCTGCAAATGAAAACTATACGCATTTATTTACCAAATATGATGCCAATGAAAACTATACGCATTTATTTACCAGATATGATGCCTGTAAAAATAGTAGAAATAACGAGATAAATAACACTTTTGTTGACACGTTAATGGCAACAACAGCTGCACCTACATTTTTTCCACCTTATAAAATCGGTAATAAGACTTTTATGGATGGAGGGATACATCTTAATAACCCAGCATCAACTGCTTATAGTGAGGCTATCCGATATAATGTGCCAGAGGAAAAGATTTCTGTACTTTCTCTAGGTACAGGATGTTATTTACCAGATCCTTCAAATGCAGATCAATATAATTTACTTTTTTGGGCACAAAATATTCCTAATTTCACGATATTTGCACAAGAAAGTAATACGGATCGTGAAATGTACACCAAGTTAAAAGATCGTTATCAAGGATGGCAAGTATTTTTTGAGGAACCTATAGGATTAGTTGACCATGATAGTATTCCTGCTCTTTTGGAGTTAGGCTATCAATATATAGAAGAGCTTGATTGTTCTGATGAAAACCCTATCAACAAGTTGGTAGAGTCTTTTGATCGATAGTTTTTTTCTAAGTTTTTTACATTTTATTCATTACATTGTTATAAATGATGAGAAATTTTGAAATTTAGAATCAAGTTTGGGGAATTGATAGTTGAATCCTCTATAATTAATTTCAAAACTGATGATTAAATCAATTTTTTTTAAATTACTATGAAGCGTTAAAATTATTCATCTCTGCCCATATCATGACCATCATTATTAGTAATTCCGTCAACCAAGTTATAAATAGTGAGTGCTTATATTTGGCTAAATTTTACTTAAATTCATTCTGATTACACATAGTAAATTCTGGGCATAATGAATTTGATTATAACAACTCTGGGGGTTTAGCGAATATTTATGATAAACACACCATATAATGATCTTTTTTCTAATATATCAAATTTAGAGCATAAAAAATAGTCAATTTTATACGTACTGTATAACAACATTGTTACTATAAGAATCATCAGTTCTTTACAGAGTTGACCACACATCATTTGTACCCAATGGCGTAATAATTTTTTGTGGGTCTATTATGGCTTACAGTTTTTTTTTCATGTATAATTATTTATATATAATAAAACTCGACTTATTTTGAACTTAATCTGCATCACCTAACAGT